ATTCGGAAGAGATTCTGAAAAGTTTCTGAAGAGATTTTCAAAAGAGATTCCTATGAAATTCTAAAGAGATTATGAAAAGTTACTAAAGAGATTCGGCAAAGATTCTGAAGGGATTCTGAAGATACTATGAAGGGATTCTAAAGAGAATCTGAAGAAATTTCAAAAGAGGTTCTAACGAGATTCTAAAGAGATTCTGCAGAGATTCTGAAGAGATTCTGAAGAGATTTTGAAGAGGTTTTGAAAAGATTTTGAAGAGATTCTAAAGAGATTCTGAAGAATTTATGTTTGAATCGGTTGATGGTTTAATTGTTGAGCCCTCCCTAGTTATTTACTACTATTTTAGAGAATACTTTTTTTATTTATTGTCCTTCTTGTTCTAGGCCCTCAACAGACTTATAATACCGTATAATACCTGGATATTTGGGCAAAGTCATCATTTATAAATGAAACCTTTTCTTTAATAATAGAGTCCAATAAATTCATTGAATTTTTTACTGTTGGCAACCGGATTGAGGAGTGGCTGGCTGTTGTAAGGGTAGATTCTGTTATAGTTTTCGAAAAGAATCGTGTTACTAAAGTACAGGTTTCCTCACAATTTGATTGTTGTGTTTTTTTGGATGAATGATCTTGAATTACGATCCAGTTGAGGTATTTGCGTATTAAGGGTTTGGGCGACGACAGACAAAATTAACTAGAATTATAACTAGATTTTGTTAATTTTGTAGTTGTCATTGTCATTAAGCTAGCTAAGTGGCATGGGAACACCCGAGTTTGTAGGAACTTTCTGGCAATGTGGGAAAAATGTCAAGGTTTTTGCAGTATTTTCCCAAAGGAGTGTTTGTCGTGATGTATAGAATTTATCTGGATGAATGAAGTTAACAAAATATGTGTCATTTTCACGCAGGGGGTTTCAATGAGCGTTTGTCCTTTAATTATTTTTGGCGTCCAGGTAGTGTGCGTAGGGTTACATCCGTTTTAACATAGATATAACCTTACATTTATTAGCTCATCATGAGGTAATTTAGTACCGTGGTAAGTGGTGAGAAGAAAACGTGTAGGATTGGTAAAGAAAAAGACACTAACCAATAAAAAATTTGAAAGTCGTCAATCCACCATTGTGGGCGTGAAAAAAAATGCAAAGAAAGTTTTTTGTGAAGATTTGTCGAGTTTTTTAACCATAGAAGTGCCGAACAAGTTCTTAAACCAACCGTTACGTCGGAAATCGCGAAAAATTTCCATTATACATTTAACAGAGTAAAACCTAAACCTAGTCGTTGCATCGTTTTCTAAAGACAATTAAGCAAATAGACATTTTTTTCAGTGGTTTGGTTATATAACATTTATAAAGATTTTGTCTAAGACAAGTATAGCGTATTGAGAATTTCTCCAGTTAGATTTAAATCCAAAGAACAGTTGGATCTACTCCGTTGCTAGAGTAAACACATCCTGAATCAAATATTACCAGAAAAAAAGTTTCCATTAGATTGACCATCTGCAGTTCAGCTTTGGATTGCTGTACTATATGCACTATCCTGAAAATTAAAGTTAAGTCTTATTTAGTGTTTATTTTGACCCCCGCCTGCCGTTATTTGTGCACAGACAACAATTATATTTATGTCTTCCGACGGAATGCCTAATTTAGTGTAATCGAGACAAATTTCAAAGAGGTCAGACGAGGTACAGGAGCTTCCATTTAATGATGTTTTGTTCGTCGACCTTTTGGAGACTCGAGATGTACTACTTAGGGATATCACTTCTGTTAATTAGTGTAATTCTAATCTACCTAAAATTAGAGAAACTGGTGGTTAGTAAGCTGCAACAAGAAGATTTTGATGTTTGTCCGTGACAGTAGTTCGAAGCGAATGAAATGACGTGCAGAAGGTTATGGAAGTTGGCGCAACGTATCAATATCCAAACACCCACCTGCAGGCCTTAACGAGATTTTGATCGCGAGTTGCGAACGCGCAAAATTAAAGGAACGATTTATGATATATTGTAGAAAAATAATGTTTTCCTTTCATATTACATCGATAGGTATAGCCTTTAGAAAGATTTATTTAACGTTGGTTCTCCGATTCCGAAAATCCAATAACGCGTTTTGTCCTGGAGCGAGATTAATGTGCAGTGTGCGCTCCAGATACTCCCACTCTACAAAACACACCCCAAAAATTAATTTAATTAAATATTATAAGGCGTACACCGACAAAAAATCCCTTTCAAGACGAAATATTAGGTTTAAACGTTGTTATTCGGAAAAATTGCTTTTCTTTTTTCCTTGATGTACTTAGTTTGATTATTAGGGGAAATTCGTGAGTGGATACTTTTTTAGAATATTCTTTGTGCTAGAGACGAAAGCGATGAGGAGAAGCGCACTTAATCTAGACGATTTTTATAATAAAAATATGCGCGAAAGCTTGGAGCGTGTGCCTTTCTATATTCTATAAATAATTTAACAACTTGTTCTCGATTCGAAAATTGCTGCCACTGTTACAACTCTAACATCCTGGGAAATGACATTCTATCACTTATTCAAATGCAATTTCGCTTAGTATAAAATTAAACTGAATTATGAAGCACTTTGCGTGGAGTTCTTTTGCCATTATGCGACATTTTCGGAGCGCGCGACGGGGTCGTTTTCAAGAAGGGTCATTTAAATAATTTAATTACGCGCCGGATGTAATAAAGAATTGGAAGGTTACCTTTGAAATCAAATGTTCTTGTGTTACTGGTTAGCCCTAGGGTTTGAGTCCAGATATCAAATTTCCTCAAATATTAGTATCCGCGCCTGAATCCCTTATCGAATGGGATTTTTGCGCCCGTTTATCTGCATTTATAAAATGCTTAATATAGGTACTAAGAAAGGACTGAGTTTGGTTCCTTTTTCAGGGGTCCGTGAACAGTTCGAGTGTCGACTTGAAAGGAATTAAGTTACAAGTATCTCATAATGTGCTCATTTTGCGCTACTAATTTAAAATTTTGTGTTCAGCAGGTTAATGAGTAATTCAACCTTTCTAATGACACTCCAACTTTACGCTGAAGTGTCAACATCAATATTTTCAAAATTTCCTTTTACTATAATTTTGTGCGCATTTTGTGCTGCTAATTTACAATTTTGTGCGAGGGTATCGATATTTAACATTTTTTGGGATGTGCCTCCAGCTCTCACTGTAGAGTCAACATTGATATTTTAAACATTTTGTTTTATTCACGTTTTGTGCTAATTTGTCCTGCTAATTTAAAGTGGTGTTCAACCCGCAATGGGTAATTAAAATTTTTCGCACGACTCGGCTAAAAGTCTAAATAAAATTTTAACAATTATTATTTGTTAATAGCTGCAAGTTAAGTTTCCTAGTTCTCTAACCTTCGATGTCGTCCATTTAAAGGACACATAACGAAATACGTAACGAAAAAAGCAAAAAATGTTGATAAATATCGTGAAAAAAATTGATCTTGCTATAAATTATATGGCTATTATTTAAATAATATACTGAAATTGTGAAGATCCATGACTCTCAATGGGGTGCTTAAGAAGCTTCGGAGAAATAACACCAAAATCTACCCATTTATTATTATAACAATTTTTATGGGGAGATTTTGGTGTTATTTCTCCAAAGCTAAATAATATACGGTGGTGCATTAGAAACGATACATAGCTATTTCTGTAAATTAAAATAATTTTCAAAAAACGCTTTGGCACGTCAAATTGATCATGGAAGGAAACAGTGTCTAAAATAAAACTTGCTCACTATAGATCGTCTCACGTAAAACAGGAATCGGGAGAAAGTAGTGTAACCTCCCACTAAGTTTATTGTTCATCTCAATGTCGCTGTGCTTTGAATAAAGATAGGTATAAAACTGGTAATTATTCGGGCCGTTGGAACCACCCTCTAGACTCCCAATGAATGAGCGAAGTGTTTATAACCGCATAGATGTTTATAATTTGAATGGTCAACTGTATAAGCATTTAACAGATTTGTGTAGATCCAGTGGCGTACGATATTTACTGATTTAGAGTAGCTACTCATTACACAGATAAAAACACACACTTGCAATGCTGACTTTTTCTTTTTAAATATTTATAAGATATAATTACTGTTCATGTCGAATTACTCTGTTAATTTATTGATTGACCTTGCCCAGTTCCATTGGGTGTTAGTTTGTGAAATGCAAGAAAACACTGAGGTATTTATTAAATAATTTCAATTGCAACGTAATGATCGTTTATTAAACTAACGAGAGTTTTTTTACAAATGAAGATAAATAATATACTATTATTACGTAATGGTAAATATGTACAATTTGCCAATCTGATGTTATTGATTGTATACTAATGTTATCAATCATCACTAAAACAAAAATCGCTTTCATTAGAGTCATCTTCGCCTAAATCAATGATTACGTCATTTACAGAAATGTCAAGAACATGTTCTGATTCCATAAACTGAGATTCCAACTTTTTGGAATGTTCGCATGCTGATTGTATGACGCTTGCACAATCTTGGGCAAATTTTGTTTCTGCTAACCGTTTAATATCGTCCAGCTTGAATGTAGTGTTGTGTGAAGCAACCCACTGTTTAATATAAGCCCAAATTCTTTCAATGGGGTTCAATTCGGGATGATATGGCGGAAGTCGCAAAACTGAATGTCCATGGGCTGCTAATACAGAATCAACAGTATACTTTTTTGTATCAGACTGAGATCTGTGCCTTTTTATTACCTCATACTACTCCAGTTTGGTCATCTTTTTCGTATAGGGAACATTTTTCTCATCCAACCATCGTTGCATTTCTTCTTTTTTATTTGACAGTACGATGTTCTTTTCTGAGAGTGTATTGTGGTAAGCTGCGTTGTCCATAACAACGACAGATTCTGGAAGAAGATTTGGGAACAATTTTTCCTCTAACCATTTCATAAAATTATTTCCATTCATGTCATCGTGGTAGTCTCCAGTTTTGCTTCCGGATTTAAAAATTAGCAACGCATTTGGTACAAATCCACCCTCATGCAGTGCGTGTAAAATCACTAAACGTGGACCTTTCCCTATTGGTGGATGTAATCCCGCTGAAGTTCCGTCTGACCAAGAAGAAGGCCAAAGTATGGCTTGAATTGATGTAGGTTTCATCTAAATATACGATTGGCCGTTTTTCCTCACGGTATGATGATATTTTCTTCAAATATGCTAATCTGGCAACTCTAACATCATATTTCTCCATGAGGAACGCGCGATTATCCGCGGTTTTCTGCCATCTGAAACCATGAATTAATAAACTCACATTTGAAATTGAAACCATATGGTCCTTATAGTTGGCAAATAAGAAAATAAAGAACCGTTTCGATTAACAAAACGAGGCGATGAATCATCATTACTGAATTAAAACTTGTTTTGCTAAAATGTATCCATAATAGAGCTGTTGCGTCTGTAAAAGGACCATACGGTATGCAATGATGCACGTATCGTAAATTGTGCAAAATAAAATACTACTGATGATACAGATAATAACTACACTTACCTAAAACCAATTTTTGGTAGCAATCTCGCAAGAGAAGCTTTGCTTCCTTGATACAGCCCATCCTCTTTCAAGGAAACTAGCAGTCGGTCTAATGTAGGTTGTTGTTTGTGGATTATGTGGTAATTGTGGATGTGCCGCCTGAAAAAGTCAATAGTGTGTTGGTCCACTACAGATTTTGAACTGCTTCTGACGCGCTTGTTGCTTGGTGTGGTAAAATTCTGTTTCTGTCCACTTTGAATTTCCTTTCCTTCTTCCTGAACTTGTAATACCAAGTTTTTGGAAACTCCCAACGCCTTGCAGCAACGTTCCAACACACATCTTATTGGAATTGTCACACCATTCGTAGCCTCCTCTTTCATAAACTGAAGCACATTATAAATTAACTCTAGACATTTACTATCATACACCATGATTTTATAGCACTAGATGCTCCAAATCGGATAAATGACATGCAAATAATAAGAGAAGAAGTAAATTTCCGAATTTATAATAACATGAGCTCCCTACAATGAGTTATTAATCATTATTTATCATATCAACATTATCCCTAACTTTCCCAAATGTTAAAGGTTTAATTAAATGCAATGATTAATAAACGATCATTATGTTGCAAATGACAATATTAAATAAATACCTCAGTGTTTTCCTGCATTTGAGAAACTGACACCCAATGGAACTGGGCAAGGTTAATCAATAAATTAACAGGGTAATTCGGCATGAACAGCAATTATATCTTATAAATATTTCAAAGAAAAGTCAGCATTGCAAGTGTGTGTTTTTATCTGTGTAATGAGTAGCTACTCTAAATCAGTAAATATCGTACGCCACTGGATCTACACAAATCTGTTTAATGCTTATACAGTTGACCATTCAAATTATAAACATCTATGCGGTTATAAACACTTCGCTCATTTATTGGGAGTCTAGAGGGTGGTTCCAACGGCCCGAATAAATTACCAGTTTTATACCTATCTTTATTCAAAGCACAGCGACATTGAGATGAACAATAAACTTAGTGGGAGGTTACACTACTTTCTCCCGATTCCTTTTTTACGTGAGACGATCTATAATGTCTTTGTCTCGCATCGCTGACAGTGCAACCCTTAAAAATTTTAAATGATGCATCGTTGGTAAGGTCGCCCATCTCTGAATTCGGATATGTAATTTTTTTGGTTTAGTTGTTTCATTTCCAGCTCATTCGACGTTGCAGTTACAAGTTTTCTCTTTTTTATACCACTTGCAACTGCATAATTTTGACGCACGATCGCATTTGCTTCTATTACATAGTGATCGGCCCAACACCCTTCCAATGACATAAACAACAGCTCGCCCTCAACTTACTTTTAAAATATTTCGAAAATATCAAATCTAAAAAATTATAGTCTCACCAAATTCAGAGAAGGAAAGCCTTTCCAATGATGTCCTATCTACCTTGTTCCGCAATTACCAATGCTAAGGGTTTTGCTTTAGTAGGTACTAGGTATGCTATACAAAAATTAAAAAGGAAGTATATGGGTACTTAATAATTACAAACATTTAAAAGAAAAAATCATCAATATCGACCTGTTCCTAAAACGTTTCAAGATTTTTAAAAGCTTTACTGTTTTGATTATTAACAATCTCTTAAAAAATTGCCAGATTTTTTCCATGTATCTCTTCAAACTATAAAATAAATAAGAGTAAGAAAATCAAAAAGAAACTTTTAAGTTCATTCACTACCATAGTTGTAGCAAAGATAACGCAAAAAAAATAAGCAGTTAGTGTAATTTTACTCAGTCACCAATAAACATAACATATAGCCATATGTGGTCAAAGAAACGTAAAACTGGTTCTAAAAAAACTGGAAACTTATCTTTTCTGAACTCCACCACAACACTACCACCAGAAATAAAAACTTTTTAAATTAAAAAAGAAGTATACACAAAATCAAAACCCGTGCTCAGATAAATTTTAAAATACCACTCTGTCAAACGTTCAAGAATGAAGATAGTATATACAGGCGTTAAAGTTCTAATTAGTTGTGGTCATACGTACTTAAACTTGATTTTTCGGACCTAATTACTTTTACCTTGTAATAAACCCTATTCATCTTCCAGAAATAATAGAAAGGATGTCATTACGATATTTCTCTTATTGTTTCTTTATGAAGTGCAATTTGTGTTATCGGGGTCTTTTCAAATTTACCTTTAATTATAATATTATCTTAATTACTTATCCAAATTTAGTGTCATCTATGAAATGCATTGTTCTATTGTCATTTATACATACTCGTTTTGTCTACGTGTAAAATAAATTTAATTCATTTCCTTTGTCACCCTTTTCAACTAAAGAAATAAAGAACAATTTTTTATGTGTTCTTAAATTTCAGGATTTAACTATATCAGACTTTTCATACAACTTCAAAAAAAACCAGCGTGATTATATTTAAGAAATGGAAATACTTAAGAATCGCGATGTGTTGAAAATGAAAGACCAAATAACTATTATTTGAAACATTTTTCCATGAAGTAGATGTTTACCAAGATGTGCACTACTACATACATTCTGTAAAGGCAATCGTCTAGTAGCCTCTTAAAAATATTTAATTTTAATAGACCAAAGATTTACAGAATTATCCGGGTGTGAATCATTCGGGAGCGAATTTTTCGAGTGCGAATTGTACGGGTGCGAATTGTCCGGGCGCGAATTGTCCGAACACGGCACTGATGTCGTCTGAGATAGATATCTTCCCGATAGCCTGAAGGAGCGACCCACGATAATCGGGGGCGGGGTGTCCTCCTAAAAGATTCTCTTGAAATCCTGGATTTTGTGTGGCTATCCGTGATAGGAGTCTGAGGTTAATGACCGACGACATGCTTGATCCCCCTCCTCCCATTTTATCCCTAATTAGTCCACTCACATAAACCGTAAATGACGTCGCTTCTCATCAGCACCCGAAGGGATGGGCAACCTACACTAAAAGGGATCAGATAAACCCCTGAGTGCCATAAAAGCTTTATATGATTTAATTACTGACCTTTGTGCCTAATAATTATGGTAGTTTGATGCTAAAACACTAAAAAAAAAGCCTGAGTGAGTAGGCAACCCCGATTCATGGCTGACCCCAAAACTTCTAAACGTGTTTCCTCAACCTTGGAGTGGAAAAAAGTGATACAGTCATTAGAAACCACCATTTGTACATGCAACCCGTCCTAACAGGGGTTCCAGGGGCAAATGAGCGTGACGCCACCTCGCAACTTTGAGAAAGGTCAAAAGGCATATGTGCTAAGTTTCATACATTTACTCTAAAGTGCAAACTTTTTTCCTAATCTCCCAAATTATAAGGGACCTTGATGAGACCTTAAGGGTTGGAATATTTTGGAAAGTATTGAGAAGTTTGGAAAATACAGTCAAAAGATGAGGCCGAATAGTTTAAAAGATGGGAGTGCAATAAAACAAGTATATGCATATTGGCCTTAAAAAGCAGAAAATTGAAGTAAACCCAAAAAAAAGTTGCATTCTCAAATCCATGATGATTTGAACCTCTCCGCCTATAGTGCAAAGAAGAAAATCAGAAAAGTTAAAGTCAATTTTCAGGAAATAGATGTCGCCCCCAACTATTACAATTAATTTCAACACCAATGGCTATTATCAGTACTCTTTAACATTGTAGTTTATTTTAAGGCAAGGAAATGAAATTACTACAAGATTGGTGAGAAGCATGGTGATGCAAAACTTTCTATCACTTTTCGTCTTTAGTTATTTCTAATGGAAATGTTAGAAATTACCCCCTGCAGCAGGTGTCACTGGATGATCCCACGTGTTGCGTGTATTTCTTTTTGTAGCAGCTTTTCTTGGAATTTTCGTAGGCTGAAGCTCCCAGTCAAATAAAAGAAACAAAAACGAATAATACCTGTCCAAAATAATCATTTAAATTTAAACAAAGGAAAATGGATGACAATTGACATTATATAAAACAAAGACGTGATATATGAGTGGAGACTATGCCATATTCTAAGGACCAAAGGGAGTTCGCGTCACCATCGTTTCATTCAATTCCTCCCATTATACATTTCGTTATTCTGGGGCTCAAGTGGACGAAATTCGACAAAGAAAACAATTAATTTCGAAATGCAAGTTGACGAAATATTATTTCAGGAACACTCGCAAATGTCACGGTGCCATTGAGATACTTACGCGCGGAAATTTAATTAGACACGGAACGGGAACGAGAATGGGGTTAGAAAAATTTCAGCGGGAACAACAACAAAACTAAGCCAACTACATTAATCATTCCGGTAATATAATTGCATTCCCGCAAGTGCACTTTCTGTTGTCACCCCATGCAATTAACTATAGCTGCATCTCACATGCATTTTGGGCTAACATGACGTATCTACAGCAACTCCTACCCCAACAAAGGGCGAATTGATGAAATTCCTTTATGACTCCTACTAGTTCAGTGGTTAGCTTCTGTTCCTTTCGCGTGACCACAAACCTGATTATTTTTTCAATGGGAGACTCAACGAAAAGGTAAAAAATTTTGCAATGTTTAACGACAACTTACGACGTTCAATTAGAGTAGATATAGGAAAATTCTCCCTTACATTTTCCCTTAGAACTTTTGCCCTCAGAAGATTTTGTTTCAACCGGATAGTTTTCTCAAGGAATACTGTCCGCTGGAAAACTCTCCCATAGGCAAGTGGTTTCCAGATTATTTGCCCAAAAGAAAGTGGGACCCGGGAGGAATACTCATCCACGAGGAACTTTCTCCGTCTTTACGTGCATGTACCGGGTGACCCAATAAGACTGTTCCTCGGCCATATCTCGAGAACCGTTCGTCATGACCTAGGGGTAAAAAAAATTATTGGGTAAATGAGTCATGAAGGATACCATCTTAAATTTTCAAATGGCATTTTCAATTGTTTTTGCAATAACGTGCTTTAACTTCTTAATCGTTTGACCGATTTTAACTAATTTGGTATGGTTGAAAAGAGCATTCCTTGGGCAATGAGAATCAACCAAAACATAGTTAATTTTGTTGAGTCCTTCTCCACCAGGGAGCGAGTTTTGACACTATGACCCAAAATCCTAAAGGAATCAAAAAAATCAAATGGAATGTTATGACTTTTTCTTTATGAAAAAGTAGCCAAATACCATCCAAAGAGGCCAGTGAAAACCGTTTTTCAAAATCTCGTCCCTAACCTCAAATATTGAGAAATTGAGATTAATTTAATTAATAAAAATGCTTAAATTGTATCTTAAACTTACTTTTTACGTATTTCCGGTATTTGGTCGATGGCGCGAAAGAAAAGCACCCTACACTTTTAGGTAGGCCTTGGAAAACTAAACAAATGAAACACGATGCATTATAAAATAATAACAGCCAAAATTCTGTAAATTATTCTGCTGTGTTTACGCATTCAAAAAG